CAATAAAGATTGCAATTCACCTATAAAACTTCAAACTTTTTACCTAATTCATCATTTACTATACAAAAATATAAATAGTGGACAGATCTTTCCTCAAAATATTCATTATGTGATTTATAATGAATAAGTTGGAGTGTATATCATTCTATATCAATTTATCTGACTAATTGTAAAATTTTATTTTAGTTAATTTTGTTCAAATAAAGATTGCAATTCACCTACAAAACTTCAAATTTTTTACCGAATTCATCCTTTACTATACACAAATATAAATAGTGGATATATCTTTGCTCCAAATATTTATTCAGTGATTTAAAATGAATAAGATGGAGTATATATCATTCTATATCAATTTATCTGACTAATTGTATAATTTTATTTTTGTTAATTTTGTTCAAATAAAGATTGCAATTCACCTACAAAACTTCAAATTTTTTACCTAATCCATCCTTTACTATACACAAATATAAATAGTGGATAGGTCTTTGCTCAAAATATTCATTCAGTGATTTAAAATGAATAAGATGGAGTATATTTCAATCTTTGGTTTAGTTTCAGTATTGTTCTTGATCATTAGGGTTGATGCTAGGGTTAAAGGAATAGTTAAAACCCAAGATTCGAGTTTCGATGAGAACTATGTGGTTACGTGGGGACAAAACAATGTCTTGAAACTTAACCAAGGGAAAGAAGTTCAGCTATCCATGGATAAATCTTCAGGTTTCTTTATCTTATTTAACAAAACAAATGCACCATCATGTATATTAATAATCTGAGACGTTCCTTTGCATTGATTTTTGCATATATTATAAACAGGTTCTGGTTTTGAGTCTAAAAACCATTACGGATCCGGATTCTTCCAAATAAGAATGAAATTGCCTCCAAAAGATACTGATACTAGTGGTGTTGTCATAGCTTTCTACGTACGTTTCTAATCATCTATTCATCACAAAAATTTCATTTTTCATTTTACATGAATTGGGATTTTTAACAGTGTCAATATGTTTTGTTTCTTCCATATGTATTTGTGTACGGTTACAGTTGACTTCGAAGGGAAATACACAAGATGAAGTTGACTTTGAATTCTTAGGAAACGAACAAGGGAAACCAATATCACTTCAGACAAATTTGTTTACCAACGGTCAAGGAAACAGAGAACAAAGGATAGTTACTTGGTTCGATCCAACTCAAGATTTTCACACTTATGAAATTCTCTGGAACCCGTATCATATTGTGTAGGTCCTTCTTCCTTTACCAGCCTCATGCATCTTTTTTTTGTTTTTGTTGTTGTCAACTTACTTACCACATTCAATTATCCAATCCGGTTTACGAGATTTACATACGAAAACATTAACATTAGCTAATCTAACATGATTCGCAAGCTTGTCAGCCTTTGAATTTAGGGCCTCACGCATCTATTT